GGGGCCTGCCCGGTGCTCACCCCCTGTGTCCGCAGGTACCTCCACATCCTGATGCTCTTCTGGTCCTTCGTGGCTGGGGTCGTCACCTTCTACTGCTCGCTGGGCCCCGACTCGCTGCTGCCCAACGTCCTCTTCGCCATCAGTTACAGGCCCAAGGTGTGTCGGCCCGGGCTGTGCTCCCGGTAGATGTGTTTACATCAGGTGTGGGTGGCTGTGCTGGTCCAGCTGCAGCCACAGGTGCTGCTCCCAGCTCAGCCCCTCTGCCACCGACTGGCACAGAGTGGGGAGCAGAATGGGCCCAAGGTGTGTCAGTTTGGCCTGTGCTCTCAATAAACATGAGTTTACATCAGGTGTGGGTGGCTGTGCTGGTCCAGCTGCAGCCACAGGTGCTGCTCCCAGCTCAGCCCCTCTGGCACAGAGTGGGGAACAGAATGGGCAGCTACAAGCCCAAGGTGTGTCAGTTTGGCCTGTGCTCTCAATAAACATGAGTTTACATCGGGCAGCAGTCACTGTGCTGGTCCAGCTGCAGCCATGAGTGCTGCTCCCAGCTCAGCCCCTCTCCCACCGACTGGCACAGAATGATTAAGGCTTGGGACTCTCCTTGTATTCCTGCCCAGTCCCACCAAACCTACGTGTGCCTGCACAGACAGTCGTGGGGACTACTCAGGGGTGTTGTTTCCTGCTCTGCTCTCCTGGTGTTTTGGCATTGGGGTCCCAAGCAGTGCAGAAACTCTGTGGTTGTTTCCTCTTTTATTGAGGCTTTTCCTTTTCTAAAGATGCTCTTGTGTCACACCAGTGCTAAGCCTCCTCTGCATGCTGTGCTTAAAATCCCCCAAGTGTTGCTGCATCTCAAACAGAAAAATTTTGCCAAAGCAAATTGCAGTTTTTTAACTTAAAGTGTTTTCATGTGGAGTTTGATAGGACTAAAAACATGTAGTTGCAGCAGTTCAAGGCTGTGAGTAGTGCAGGTTTAGCAGATAAAGCGACTGGTCTGATAACTGGAGCAACCAGTGTCAGGGAGATGACTGGGGAGGTGAGAGAATATCTCCTCACACTTTGTTTCACTGGGAGTGATGTTTCTGTTGGGTTCAGTTATCTCCTGCTGTGCTTTGTTTTGTTTTCCTGCTGGGAGAGCCACTCTGGCTTGGCTCAACTCTGCACTAACATACCCTGAAGAGAAACTCACTGATGTGTCCGTTTCTCCATGTAAACTCCTCCAAATATCTTCTCTCAGCAGGTGGAATTGCCAGAGCTGTTTCCCCAGGGCCACAGCTGTGCTGTGTGTGGCAAGGTCAAATGCAAGAGGCACAGGTGAGTGGGATGTGTGGCCCTGCTGGGCTGAGCATTGCTGCTGTTTCTCACACAGCAGCAGGACAGTTCCAGCTGCATATTGCTCTCTCCATGCTCTCCTACAGACCTACTTTGCTCCTGGAGAACTATCAGCCGTGGCTGGATCTGGAAGTGCCTTCCAAGGTTGATGCATCACTCTCTGAGGTAATTGGTGTTCTTTAGTCCCTGAAAGTTCTGTGGGGCTTTATTCCATGTCCTTTAGACCTTTTGCTTCTGGCTCAGGAGAGGGTTTAGATGAACTCCCCATGGGCTTTAACTTGTGCATGTCAGATCAAAAGAGGGAGCAGAGAGGTGAGGGGGCCTGGCTGCTAACACAGGTGTGACTGCTCCTGTAGCTGAAACAGAAGAAATGTCCCTGGAAATTGGGAAGGATGTTGCAGAGAGCAGTTATAACTGGACATGCTTTTCAGCCTGCTCAGTTTGTTGGAGTGCAGGGTAAGAGAGAATTTGCTCCAGCTAGAAAACTTCTGCCCTGGAAATGATGAGGTGGAGGTAAGGAGCCTCCAAGGAGCATGAGAAGAGACTCTCTACAAGGGCCTGGAGTGACAGGGGAAGGGGCAGTCGCTTCACACAGAGAGAGGAGGTTTAGATGGGATATTGGGCAGGAATTCCTCCCTGTGAGGTGCTGAGGCTCTGGCACAGGTTGCCCAGAGCAGCTGTGGGTTCCCATCCCTGGAAGTGTTCCAGGCCGGGCTGGATGGAGCTCTGAGCAACCTGATCCAGTGGAAGGTGTCACTGCCCATGGCAGGAACCAGGTGATCCTGAAGGTCCCTTCCAGCCCAGCCATTCTAGGAAGCTATTTAAAGTCATCAGGCAAAGCTGCAACAAAAGTCTGTCTGAAAAATGCAGCTGGTGGAGTTACTTAGAACGGCATAAATATCTCGTGTAATAAGACTGTAAATCAGGAATGTTGTGTTGTCCTTATGTCTTCAAAAAGAACTGTCTGAAGAGCAGTTTTGCTTCGAGCTTGGTTTGTTGGTTTTCCCCTTGGTTGGTACTTATGGGATGCGTTGGCAGTAAGCAGAGAAGCTTGTGTTGGGGTTTGGAGCTGCATGTAGGTAGCTTAATACCCTCTCATTGAGAATTCAGCTCTGCAGTCGTGTGGTTGGAGGACGGACAGAGTTTTGCAGGTAGTTGTTGCAGTTAGAGCAGTGTGTGAGGTCAGAGCTGTGTGGCCTAAGGCAGCACCTCAGTCCAGCTCTGCCTGGTGGGGCAGGAGTGGGAGAGAGACCTTAAGGGAAGGGAGGGATGGAGTTGAGGAGTGATGTTAGAGTAGGAGAGATCACTTGTTGGCTTCCTTTAGCTTAGTGAAGTGACTTCCTCTGTGGCTTCAGAACAAACAGTTGTTCTTGCGCAATCACTTAATCTGCAGTTCTGTAAGGTAAGTTGAAGTGCATTAAAATGACAATATTTGGAGTATCCTTTCAGTAGGTTCTTGCTATAGTAATAGAATGTTAAATAAACACTTCTGTGCATATCCTGTTTTTAGGGGTTTGGGTGACAGTTTAGCAAAGGACATCATAAATGCCAAAGAACAGGAAATTTTCCTCTTGAGCTTAAATGGGAATTTAATGCTAAAAAAAGTTTTTTAAAAGTTCTTGGCAGTATCTTATGAATAAGAGGTGTGAGTACTGCAAGGGCAAGAGCAGGTCCTGTCCCTGGGGAGGAACAGCCCCAAGCACCAGCACAGGTTGGCACTGACCTGCTGGAGAGCAGCTCCAAGGAGAAGGACCTGGGGGTGCTGGTGGACAACAGGCTGTCCATGGGTCACAGTGTGTCCTGGTGGCTCAGGGGCCAATGGAATCCTGGGATGCATTGGGAAGAGCATTGCCAGCAGGTCAGGGAGGTGATCCTGTCCCTCTGCTCAGCCCTGGGGAGGTCACACCTGGAGTGCTGTGTCCAGTTCTGGATCCTCAGGGCCAGAGGGACATGGAGCTCCTGCAGCAGGGCCAGGGCAGGGCAAGGAAGATGCTGAAGGCACTGGAGCACCTCAGGGATGAGCAAAGGCTGAGGGAGTTGGGGCTGTTCAGCCTCCAGAAGAGACAACTCAGAGGGACCTTATGAATGGATTCAAGATTCAGATGTGAGGAGAAATGTTCTCCCTGTTGTGGTGTTGAGGCCCTGGGATATTGCCCAGGGAGGTGGTGCAGTCACCATCCCTGGAGGTGTTTCAGAGGTGTCTGATGTGGCACTGGAGGATCTGGGTTAGGGTCTGGGAGTTCCAGCAGTGACAGGTTATTGGTTGCACTCGATAATCTGAGAGATCTCCTCCAACCCTGCTGCTTCTATGATTGTTCCTCATTGCAGATCTCCACGGTGAGAAGGTAGCAGAGGTTCTGCCCACACCATGTTCCCTTTGCCCTCTGCTCTGGGGCTGCAGCTGGCAGTGCTGCCTGGAACTGGATAGCCCATGCCAGGCTGGGGCAGAGGCTGCTCTCACCTTGGGGGCTGATTAGTCATCCATTAGGGAGAAGCTGATACAGTGTGAGCTGAATTAAGGTTAATGAGATTCCAGGGGAGTGCAGAGTGCTGCTGAGGAGCAGCTTCTGCCAGTTCCCAGAGTCATTCTGGGATCTTCTTAGTTTGCATTAGTTTTCCTTGTTCTTCCTCTGCAGGTTGAATTTTGGCAATATTCTCACTTCCAGGTGTGTCCAGTTTGAACCATTTGTGCAGCCTTGAAGTTTGTGTCGTCAAGTGCTTCCAGAATCGTTTAGTACCCACTCAAAGGAGAAGAAATCCAAGTTTTCCTCACAAGGATGGATTTTTCTCTCCCCAGTTGTGATGAGTTTCTCTCATTTTGCAAGTTCTTAATCCTTTGCAGCCTTGTTTTGGTTTATCTAACTGCTGTGCATAGAACCATAGACTTATCAGGGTTGGAAGGGGCTCTTAAGATCATCAAGTCCAACCTGATTTCCTCCACATGGTTTAGAAGAGTAAGGAGAAAACTCTGCTTGGACATCCTCCCCATTGATGTTGATTGTTGTAGTTGAACTCTAGGCTGTGCTCCCATCAGTATGTTACAGTTTGGGCTGTGTCCTGCCAAAATTACACCTAAGTATCATTCTGGCTCCAGTTTCTAATCTGTTTTTCATTGCATTAGTTTCTCTGGTGTTCTCTGTTTAAGGCAGGACATGAGATCTGTTGGTCAGGTTTTTGGTGTCCCATCCAGGTGCTGCAGGCTGTAGAAGGGAGAAGTTAATCCTGTTGTCCTGTCGATGAACTCACTGGTTTTTCCTACATTCTCCTCTTGGCTATGTGAGGGACGATCGTAAGTCAGAGCTGTGGGAGCTGCTCTTGGTCAACACTGTGAGAGAAATACCTGACTGGGTCCAGGTACTGCTGCCTATGGAGCTCTCAGTTTCCTCTGAATTCTCAGGTTCTTGACCTGATTCTGAGCCGAGAGTTTTGTTTTCATTTCCCTGAAAGCAAGAACTGGACAAAATGCATGACAAGAACTCAGTTTGTGTCTGAACGTGCTCCTTGCCAGTCCTGAGCTCCAGCAGCAGCACAATGGGCTACATGTTTCCTTACTGGGAATGGCTTGTTCTGCCCTCAGCAGGTGGTCCCAGATCTGCTTGTGCTGTCTTTTAGGGCTCTGGAATCATGGAACCATCAGGGTTGGAGGAGAACTCTCAGGTCATCGACTCCAACCCTGAACCTGTCACTGCTGGAACCCCCAAACCCTAACCCAGATCCTCCAGTGCCACATCAGACACCTCTGAAACACCTCCAGGGATGGTGACTGCACCACCTCCCTGGGCAATATCCCAGGGCCTCAACACCACAGCAGGGAAAACATTTCTCCTCACATCCAATCTGACTCTGCCCTGGCTCAGCTCAAGGCCATTCCCTCTCTCCTCTCCCTCAGCCCTGGCAGGACACACATCCCACACCTCTCTCCAGCCCTGGCAGGAGTTGCAGAGAGCCAGGAGGTCACCCCTGTGGAGTTGCCCTTGTGGTTTGTGTTAAATCCTTGCTCCTTTCCATTCTGGTTTGGGTTGGTAGTTGTGACCTGGCCCTGACTCATCACTCAGCTCTGTGGTTCCTCCCCACAGCTGGGTCAGTCTGGGTCAGCCCAGTGAGAGGTGTCTCAGCAACAAGGACTGACCAGTTTGCAGTGCATGCTAGAAAATACTTTGGCATTTTTTCTTCTGCTGCTGCTGCTTATGTATTTGAGATTCAGATTAGATGCTGAGATTCAGAGTAGACATTAGGAGAAATGTTTTCCCTGTTGTGGTGTTGAGGCCCTGGGATATTGCCCAGGGAGGTGGTGCAGTCACCATCCCTGGAGGTGTTTCAGAGGTGTCTGATGTGGCACTGGAGGATCTGGGTTAGGGTTTGGGGGTTCCAGCAGCGACAGGTTGATGGTTGCACTCGATAATCTGAGAGATCTCCTCCAACCTTGATGTTCTATGATTCTGTGAACAGACTTTCAGTTCCAAAGCTGCAGCCATGGACAGAGAAGCTGTTTGCAGAGCAGTGCATTGTGTTCCCTCTGGGCACAGTCTCTTCTGTCCGAGGCTGCCCAAGGGCACTTTCTGCCCCAGCAGAAGATGCTCTGCTGCTGTTGCCCCTCATGAGGAGGCACAGAGCAGAAGTGGAGGAGGAAGGAGATGTTCTCCTATCACAGATAGACACACAGCATTGATTTTTTTTCCTTCTCTGAGGCACTTTCCTGAAAGAGCCTGTGGTTTGAGCCCCGAGGGAGGTTTGTGTGGTTCAAGCTCTGCAGCCCCAGTGATGTTGTGATACCTGTGAGCCTGAGGTGTCTGTGGGGTGAACTGGTGGCTGATGTTTTGGCAATGCTGTTGGTCTGAGAGGTTCAGGGTCTGGTTCTTAAGGCCAATGGTCTGTGCTTGCTGAGTGCAGCTGGATGTAATCTCCTTCCCGTTGGCCAGAGATTAACTCCCAAAGAAGATTCTCTGGGATTTCTTGATCTCCTCTAGACTGGGAATTAAAGCATCTGTTGTCATCTCCCCCACCCTGTGTTCAATGGCCGTTTGAGACTTGGGGTGGGGGAGGACACAGGACAGCTCAACACGACCTCAGCTCAGCCATCCAACCTTAGTCCAGTGGTGTTAGAGCTTCAGGATCAGTTTCTGCTCTAGCACCTAAGGGTAGGAGAAAAGGCATTGCTGAGCTCGTGTCTCCAGAACACAGACAGCTAACGTTATCCCAGGCTGGAAAGCATCTCTCCAGAGAGAGGGAAGGGAATCAGGAGCGATTGGAGAAGAGAGAGTTTCTTCCCAGACTTCAGTAGGTGATGTTGTTAGTGGTGGAGACAGGGAATGAGCATTCACCAGCTGGTCAGGTCTGAAGAACTGAGGGGAATTAAAAAGGCTTTGGTGTCGTTTTTGTTGAGTGGGAGCAGCAGAGGCATGGAGGGCCCTGAAGGGATACACGGTTAGGGTCCTGAGGTCTTGCAGTGCCTCATGTGGCAGCACATCCTGCAGGGAGAGCAGCACTTGGTGTGTGAGCTGTTCCCTCCGTGAGGCTGGAAGGGACCACAGTGGGTCACTGCTTTCCTTGAGAGTGGTGAACATAAAGCATTGACTGTCCCACCCTGAGAGTGGGGAGAGCTGGAGAAGGTGGAGAGTTGGATGGAAAAGGATGGAGATGTGGAAGTGTGGGATGGGTAGGACACAACACTGCATCAGGAAAGGACAGGGACTGATCTGAGACAGGAGGGAAAGGCTGTTTTGGGGGAAGATCTCCTGTTCCATAGCCAGAGCTTCACTTTACTGATAGTGCTAGTGGTGCCTGTTTCTTGTTGGCTTCTGATGGACCTGTTTCTTGTTGGCTTCTGATGGACCATCCCTGTTTCTTGTTGACTGCTGATGGACCATCCCTGTTTCTTGTTGACTGCTCTGCTGCCATCCCTGTTTCTTGTTGGCTTCTGATGGACCATCCCTGTTTCTTGTTGGCTTCTGATGGACCATCCCTGTTTCTTGTTGGCTTCTGATGGACCATCCCTGTTTCTTGTTGTGTTTCTTGTTGGCTCCTGTTGGAACATCCCTGTGCTGCTGTTTGCCCAAGGTGCTGGTTGTGATGCAGAGTGGTTGGTCTCGCTGTAAGGTCACAACTCACACACCAGAGTTGTGTGATGTTATGTCCTGTGAGTTTTGGAAGGTGTTTGTGTTTTTAACTCTTCAGTTTCTCTTCTAACATGGTTCTCTTTGCTCTGCTCAGGTGCTTGAGTTGGTGCTGGAGAACTTTATTTATCCATGGTACAGGTAAGAGCTTTGCCTGAAAGTTACTGGTTTTGAATATCATAAATATTTGTCAAATTGTTTAAGAAACAGTCACCTGAAAACAAACATTTCTGGTTCTTTAGTAGATATAAAGCATATTTTGAGTGCTACACTTTTTCCATTTTGTTGTCTCTTAGCAGAGTAGATCAGATCTTTTAACAGAAATCTATACTTCCTTTTATTTTACCTGATGCTTTTTTTTCTCCTCCTGTCTCTGGGATCTAAACTTTCCTGGGCAGCCTTGTTTGCCTGTTGGTTTCTGTTGGTGGCCAATACCTACATGTCTGTGTGTGTAGGACACCGAGGAGTGAAATGGAGCAGCAGCAGAGGGAGCTCGAGCACTGTGTGCTGGGAACCTTCACCTTGGGCAGCTCCAGGTCTCAGACTTCAGATACAGAACACAAGGTGTCTGATGTGGCACTGGAGGATCTGGGTTAGGGGTTCCAGCAGGGACAGGTTCATGGTTGGACTCAGTGGTCTCAGAGTTCTCCTCCAGCCTTGGTTGTTCTGTGATCCTGTGATCTCTAAATTTGGGTCACTTTAGGGTGTGAGGGTTAGTACTTAAGATGTAGTAAACTCCACTGAAATAGGTCATTATACTTGTGCATTTTTGTTTGGTGTTTTTCACTGCTTGTCTTTTAACTCTTTGTTTTAAGATTCATTTTTTCAGCTCCATGAGCAGAGTAGGTCAGAGCTGTCAGCAGTCCAGGTTTGTAGAGCCACAGAGATCTGCTCTGAGTCTCTTGTTCATGCTCTGCAGTAAAACTGTAGAATATCTTGCTTATGCCAATGTCATTCCAAGCAGAGTTTGAGCTTTGAACGAGTCACTCTGTGCTGACCGAATTTTTTGGTCATTGATGCTACTTCAGTGTTCTCAGGTTAGGTGACTCGGTAACTGCCACATTTGAGTCAGATATCACAATGAAAACCTTTTTCTCTGATAGAGACTAAGCCCAGAATTCTTAGACATGGAGCTGCTTCTCTTCTCAGTGCACACAGTGCAGGAGAAGTTCAGGATTTTTGAGTTACAGATCACAGCTTTACATTTTGATTGTCATGCAGCTGATTTTCTGCAGCTTTTTGAGTGGAGTTAGCCAGATTTCCTAAGAATAATTGACACAGAGTCAAAGAAATCACTTCAGCATGCATGTATGGTTTTCATTTATCAGCAGATCCTGCAGGACTTTGCATGCTACAGCAGTTGGGTCTCTGTCCTGAGGCTTTGGACTCTGGAACTGTTTGCAATTAACAGATGGAGCCTTTTCCTTTTAGCATCTCTGTCACGCTGACAGTTGTCTGTAAGTTATGCCTCTAGTTCTGGGGAAATGCAGCCAATTTCTGAAGTGTTTCCCACCAAGTTCTTTGGACTTTCCACTGTGGCCCTGGAGATTTGAGACGTTACAGTTTGCTGATGGTTTTTCTCCAGTGTTCACTCTGCTGGTGATTAAACAATGTCTGTGCTGCAGCTTAGGGCACAGTGGAACAACATGTGGCACAAAGTCATGTCCAAGTCGAGCTGGTCAAGGCACTGATTATCCAAGTGTCAGTAAAGTAACAACTTCTTGGCCCAAGTGTCTGGTTGTGTGTGAGCTGCTAGTAATGATAGTTGCACAATGTGTTTGCTAACCCTTGGCAGTGCTGATCCCTCTGGCAGTGTGTGTTGGCTAACCGTGTTGCTTCTAAAATGTCAGCGGCTGATCTTAAACCAGACCTGGCCCTGCAGTGTTCTCATCTCCTCTGGTTAGCTGCTGGAGGATGGTCTTGTTCCTCGAGCCAAGCTGCTCTCCTTGGGGTGATTTTCCATGCTGTTAGTTGCACAGCATGACTGTCAGGTCAGTAGTGTCTGCACCTAGAGACCATCTCCAAATGCATTTGCTTGAGGGTCAGCAAGGCTCAGTGCTGGTCCTGCCCTTGGCTGTTACCAGGGTCTTTTCCCACTGAGTTGAGTTACAGTTTCTGCATCTAAGACTTGTTTTCATTCAGAAGAAGTCATGGAGTTAGGTGCTTTTCTTCCTGGAATCACCTGGAAGTGTTTTCCCCTGATTTTCCCCTGAACATCCTGTGTTGCAGCAGATGGAAAGTGGCAAGTAGGACAGAGAATTCAGATGATGTTTTGACGTAGTGGTTTAGAAATGTGTTTAAATCCTTTATTTCCAAGCAGAAACCACTTTAAACGAGTCACACTCAGTTGTCTTTGTGCCCCTGAACTAGGCCACATTCACATCTGTGGGAGCTCAGTTGGGTTTTGCCCCAAGGCCTCAGGTGGTGTGTCCTTCCACACTGCCATGTCCCTTGAGCTGCTGTGTGCACAGACAGGGTGGGAGTGCTGTGTGTTCCTGGAGCTCCTCGCTGCAGTGAGCACCAGCTGAAGTCTCACCTGGAGTTCCCATTCCAGCTGTCAGCAGTGCCCAAGGTGCTGGGGTGGGGTTGGCTGCAGGGTGTTTATTCTGTTCTCTTCCATGATGTGCTGCAGGAACATCACTGATGATGAGTCCTCGGTGGATGAGCTGAGAGGGACGCTGAGATTTTTCGCATCTGTGCTGGTTCGGAGAATCCACAAGGTAAGGTGACACACAGAGCCCTTTCTGTTCTCTTTAACGTGTGATCCCAAAGCCACTCCCCATCCAAGTTACTCCTTTGTGCTGTCTGTTCCCTCCTCCTGGAGCTTGTCCCAGTGCTGGCTGTGAACCCTCTGTGAAGATCCTTCACTGCAAGTGTTGAACATGCAGTTGGACGTGACCAACCTGTGCTAGTGGAAGTAGTTACTGTTGTGGCAGAGTATTGGCACAGGTGACCTGTGAAGGTCCCTTGCAGCCCAAACCATCCCCCAGTTCCTGCCCATGGATGTATTTGCTACACCAGTGCAGGCAGCATTAACACCTTGTGCTGATCTTTTGGTGGCTCGATCCAGGTGGGAGCCGTGAGGAGGATGAGCCTGTTAGGAAGTGGTTGGCAGTGTCCCTGTCTCAGTGCTCCTGCTTTCTTGGCTCTGCAAAGTGCAGCAAGGTCCTGGCCTTGCTCTGGTCCTAGCTCTACACATAAGGAACAGACTCATTAGGTGCTTACTAGAAGAGTTGAACCAGAAATGGTTCTTACCTTAGTGCAATATTTCAGAAATATTCTGAATACTGAAGGTGAAAACCTTCTCTTTGCTGTGTTCATCTGTTGGCACACACGTTCTCTTCTCATACAGCAACTGCTTCTACCTTGCTGGCTGTTCTAGGCAGAAAGCACTGCTGACTCAGCTTCCAGAATGACTCGGTGCTGGCTCCTACCACAAATGTGTGTCTTCTTCCCCTGCTCAGGGTCCAGGGGCTCCAGCAGTGACAGGTTAAGGGCTGAACTCGGTGACTTTAGAGGTCTCCTCCAACCTCGATGGTTCTGTGGTTTTAACTTGCTTTTGCTGGTGGTCAGACCTTCACCCAGAACTGAGCTTTGTACACTGTGACCCACAAATCCCACCAAGGTGCTGCATCTGTTGCAGTGGAAGGGTCAGAATGGGGATGAGCTGACAGCAAATGTGCTAAAAGTGTCATTTGTGGCATTTAGCTCTCCATGGTGTTCTGTGCTTTGCCTGAAGGAACAAACATCCTGGTGGTTCATCTAGGGTTCATTTTCTGGTTCAAATGGAGACACAGAAGCAAATTAACATGTTTGATAATTGTCTGTAATGAAATTGGAGGGGGAAAAGAGAATAGATTTGGTTTGATTTGAAAACTCTTCTTTAGGTGGATATTCCAACTGTTGTGACCAAGAAGATGCTCAAGGCAGCAATGAAGCACGTCGAGGTGATAGCCAAGGCCAGGCAGAAAGGTAGGGCAAAGAGCTGGAGTGTTGTCAGCCTCCAGGGCAGGTACAGGTGAGATAGGTGCATTGCTCTCACACTGTCTCTGTTCCACACTGCTGTGTGTGCTAAACATGGTTTCATCCCACGCTGGAGATGTTTACTTTAACTAAAGCCATGAGCTCTTCTTCCTTCCCTCAAAGCTTCTGCTGGATGCCCAGCAGTATCTGCCATTGCTCCTGTGGAGAGTGTGGGGATGAGCAACATGGATAAGGAGACAGTGTAGCCACACTGGGTGTCTCATGGCACAGCAAGGCTCAAGCTAGGAGAGAGTCTTGCAGTGCTGTTTGTGCAAACTTCATATCTCACAGAATCAGAGTGAGAATCAGAATCATTTGGGTTTGCAGAGGCCACAGTGGGTCACTGGTCCAACCTCCCTACTCCAGCAGGGCCAGCCTAGAGCTCATGGCTCAGGGCTGTGTCCAGAGGGGTCTGGAATATCTGCAGGGAGGAGAATCCACGACCTCTCTGGGCAATCTGTTCAGTGCTCAGGGACTGCACAGCAAAGAAGTTCTTCCTCCTGTTCAGGTGGAACTTCCTGGGCATCAGTTTGGTTTGTGCTGTCTTCCTCTTGGCACCTCTTGTTCATGGACTTGGATCCATCAATGAGGTCCCTCTGAGTTGTCTCTGCCCCTCTGCTCTGCTCTGTGAGACCCACCTGGAATCCTGCACACAGCTCTGGGGCCTCAGCCTGAGAAGGACATGGAACTGTTGGAGCAAGTGCAGAGGAGGCCACAGAGCTGCTCAGAGCGCGGGAGCATCTCCCTGTGAGCACAGGCTGAGGGAGTTGGGGCTGTTGAGCCTGGAGAAGAGAAGGTTGTGTGGAGAGCTCAGAGCACCTTGCAGGAGCTGAAGGGGCTCCAGGGAAGCTGCGGCGGGATCTGTGTTAGGAGCTGCAGGGACAGCACAAGGGGCAATGGGCACAAATTGAAGGAGGGAAATTGAGGTTAGATGTTAGGCAGAAGTTTTGCCTGTTGTGGTGGTGAGACCCTGTCCCAGGGTGCCCAGGGAGGCTGTGGCTGCCCCAACCCTGGCAGTGTTCACAGCCAGGTTGGATGAGCCTTGAGCAACCTGCTCTGGTGGGAGGTGTCCCTGCCCAGGGCAGGGCTTGGGGCTGGGTCAGCTCTGAGCTCCATTCCAACCCCTAAAATTCTGTGGTTCTGTGAACTGGGAGGTGCTGAAGGATGTCAGGAAAAGGCAGGTAGAGACAGACCTTGTACTGTGCAGGTGTTTTGCAGAGTCAGGTTACTGAGTCCTGTGATAATCCTGAAGGAGAAGGCTTTGTGGACACCATGCCAAGTGCAGTTGTTTGGTGAAGGGATTCTCATTTCAGGGTGAGGTTTTATGTTTGCATGACCAAACTTCTAAATCTCAGCCAAAGTTCTTTTGTAAAGTGTCAACATTTTGTCACTTTGGCAGTTGCAGATGTGCTAAAACTGTAAACTTCTTAGCTCAGATGAAAAGCAATTCCCTCTGGTGTCTTCCCAAGAAAAGCTGAAGCAGCTCCTGACCTTGTGTTTGGCTTGCAGTGAAAAACGCTGAGTTTTTGCAGCAAGCTGCCCTGGAGGAGTATGGCCCAGAGCTCCACGTTGCCCTGAGGAGCCGAAGAGATGAACTGCACTACTTGAGGAAACTCACTGAGCTTCTGTTCCCTTACATTTTGCCCCCGAAGTCGACAGAGTGCAGGTATGGGAATCATTCCTGACTGTGTCTCCCTTACAACATCCACGTCCTGCGCAGAACAGAGACCTGGGGCAGTGAGGGAGGAAACTCCAGAGCCACTATCCTCAGCCTCCTCCTCATTTCTTGCTCTGAGCTTCCTGATTTGTCTTTAAAATAATTCGTTTAAGGAATTATTAAGCCCTAAAATATTTCCCAGTCATATATAACAGCATTGGAACCTTCACTTGGAAAACGTTGTGATCTAGTGTGGGTTTGGGGTTTGATTTGCTTCATTTTCCTTTTCAGGTCCCTGGCTCTGCTCATAAGAGAGATCCTGCCTGGTTCTGTTTTCCTGCCCTCAATGGATTTCTTAGCTGATCCTGTAAGACTCTGGAGCACAAGAACAATCCTAATTTGTTCCATATTACTGTTTTCCCACTAAGTATGTTGTGGTAGAGCAAACGACACTCAATGACTTGATTAGGTGTGAGTTTTGACTGGGGAAAGAGAAGAGGATCTCGTGGCCAATGTTTGTGTTTGTTCCTGTCAATGTTTGAGTGTTAACTCCCTGACCTGGCTGAAGCACCAGCATTGGCACAGTCCCTTGGTTCTGTGTCTGTGGTGAAGGACTGTGCCCCCTGTGCAGTGGGAGGTGCTGGTGTGAAGCATCTTCAGGTTGCTAGTGCTACACGTGGTCCTGCTTGGCCAACCTGATCTCCTGTGACCAAGTGACCTGCTGAGTGGCTGAGGGGAAGGCTGGGGCTGTGTGTCTGATCTCAGCAAGGCATGGGACACTGTCTCCCACTGGCAGGAAAACTGGCTGCTCGTGGCTTGGCTGGGTGGACTCTTCCATGGGTTAAAACTGGCTGATGGCCCAGAGAGCTGTGGTGGATGGAGCCAAATCCAGTTGGGGCTGTCACCAGTGATGTTCCCCAGGGCTCAGTGCTGGGGCAGGTCCTGTTTAACACCTTTAGTGATGATCTGGACGTGGGGATTGAGTGACCCTCAGTGAATGTGCAGAGACACTGAGCTGGGTGTGAGTGTGGATCTGCCTGAGGGTAGGAAAGCTCTGCAGAGAGACCTGGAGTGACTGGACCTGCCTCAATGGCCTTTGGGCAGTGAGTGCCCAAAGCTGAGCACAGCACTGAGCTGGGACCTCCCCAGTGCCCAGTGCAGGGGGATGACACTGCCCTAGTGCTGCTGCCACACTCTGCTTGGAAGCATTAGTACCTCATTAGATCTGCACCCACAGTAAAAGTGTTTCATATCTCCTCCCTGGGTGAAGGATGTTTCTGTGCAGGTCTCTCCAGACATTCCCTGACTTGCAAAGATTGAAGTGACCACTGAAGGTCAGTTCTCAAACAGGTGTTCCCAGGCCTTGGGTTTTTAGAAGTATCAATATACTCCCAGGTTTAACCTTGGGCATAAATGTACCATTGAAATTATTTTACTCTATTTTGGGGAGTTTCATGTTGATTTTGTGCTGTGTGTTCCCACAGGACACTGTCAACCACTTGCTGCTGATCTTCATTGACGACAGTCCAGTGAGTACACACAAAGGGAAAACAGCAGCAATTTGATCACCCACTGAGGAACTTTCTTACCCCAATGTCCTTTGTCTTCTGCAGCCTGAGATAGCAACGGAGCCAACATCTTCCTTGGTCCCATTCCTTCAGAAATTCGCAGAGCCCAGAAATAAAAAACCCTCTGTAAGCAAAGGCACCATTTATTTCCCTCCCTGTTCTGAATAAGTGTTTCACTTCTGTTGTTCTTGTTCCACAACTCTTTGCACTGTTTCTGTACTCACTGCAAGTCTGAAAATGGTCTGACTGCCTTTTTAACCTGCTCAGGTCCTGAAACTGGAGCTGAAGGAGATCAGGGACCAGCAAGACCTTTTGTTTCGGTTCATGAATTTCCTGAAGCAGGAAGGGGCAGTGCACGTGCTGCAGTTCTGCCTGACTGTGGGTAAGGTTACACACCTGTGGAGCTTGTCCTGGGCTCTCTGAGGAGGGGCAGGTGGGACTGAATGCTCAGTCTCACAACTGGGCAGCATTGGTTTATTGGTGTCCCCCACCAAGCAGAGTCTGATCATCCTCTGGGCTCCTCCTGTTCATGGACTTGAATCCATTCCTGAGATCCCTCTGAGTTGTCTCTTCTGGAGGCTGAACAGCCCGAACTCCCTCAGCCTTTGCTCATCCCTGAGGTGCTCCAGTGCCTTCAGCATCTTCCTTGCCCTGCCCTGGCCCTGCTGCAGGAGCTCCATGTCCCTCTGGCCCTGAGGAGCCAGAACTGGACACAGCACTCCAGGTGTGACCTCCCCAGGGCTGAGCAGAGGGACAGGATCACCTCCCTGACCTGCTGGCAATGCTCTTCCCAATGCATCCCAGGATTCCATTGGCCCCTGAGCCACCAGGACACACTGTGACCCATGGACAGCCTGTTGTCCACCAGCACCCCCAGGTCCTTCTCCTTGGAGCTGCTCTCCACAAGTCAGTGATCCTGTGCTAAGAACTAATAGGTTTTAACTGCAATTTATTTTGTGATGATGTGATGAAAAACAGTTGATAAGGAGGCAATTCCCTTATTCCCTAAGGTTTTGAGATGTCTCACCTTTCTACTGATTTTACAGTTCTGCAGACTCCTGTCTGCTTGAACGTAAGTTGGTGTTGGAGGTTGCTCCAAGTTGCTGTTTGGTTGCCAAGTTGCTCAGGAAATGCTTTTTCTCTCTTGCCCTTCTCAGAGGAGTTCAATGACCGGATCCTGCGGCCAGAGCTCTCAGACACTGAGAAGATGTCTCTGCACGAGGAAGTGCAGAAGATTTACAAGACTTACTGCCTGGATGAAAGCATTGACAAGATTAGGTTTGACCCTTTCATCGTGGAAGAGATCCAAAAGAGTAAGTGTGGACCTGTAAGGAGTGATGTGGGCTGGAGTCTGGACAGCTCTGTGACAAAGGGAGGGCAAACTGTGCTGCATGTCATCACTCTTTGCTTGTCAGAGCTGTGAAGATGGCTATCCCCTTGCCATGGTGTCCTTGAGCTGAGTTTTGCCATTTACTGTCAACGGCTATCCCCTTGCCATGGTGTGCTTGAGCTGAGTTTTGCCATTTACTGTCTTATTTGTAAGACTTCTCATAGCCTCACGGAGGGTGGAGGAGAACTCTGAGATCAGCAGGGCCAACCATTAGCCAACTGCTTACAGCACCTGCAAAGCAACCACAGGCTCAGACCAGAAAAACCCCAAACTTCATATTCCCATATCAGCATCTCATTAATATTTCTAATATTTTCTAGTTGCTGAAGGTCCTTACATGGACGTTGTGAAGCTTCAGACCATGAGGTGCCTTTTTGAGGCCTATGAGCGTGTGCTGTCTCTGCTGGAGAATGTTTTTACCCCCATGTTCTGCCACAGCGATGAGGTAAGTGGGAAAGGTTCGAGGAGCAGTAAAACACTATTGTATTGTCTTGGAAATGCTGTTTACAACACTCATGTGCATGTGGAACTGGAAAATGTGACTTCATTTTCCACTTGGAATTCCAGAGCTGGGCCAAGCTTGGTAAGAAAATGGAGTTTGTTCCAGTCCAACACAAATCACACAATAAAAGGAAAACTCTTAGTTTTTTGATGTAGCAATTTGTGTATATCACAGTACTTCAAAATCCTCTCCACTCCTCCTTTTGTGGTTCAGGTTTGGTGCAAGAGTCAAGTGCCTGATGGACATAGAACACAATCTCTTTATTGGCTTCTAACCATGTAATGGTACCTAAAGAAAGATACCAAAGTTGTGCTTAGGTTCCCTCAGCATTAGGCATCCAGCAGCTCAAAGTCACAGGCTCAGTGAGGCTGGAAGGGACCACAGTGGGTCACTGGTCCCACCTCCTACTCCA